CACGCCGCCACCTGGCGTCCGAGAGGAGCAATTGCACGCCTGCCTGCTTTTCTTCCTTCCTTCTTTCCTTCAAATCCTTAAAAAATAGTTAATAGAATTAACATATAGGTCAATGCCCAGACTTAGGTGTGTCGCTTGATGAATTTTAACAAACCTTGCCCTTTCCCAATCTTCGCCCTTTGACCTCCATCCCGCTCCCCTTCCTCCACTGATCTGCCTTTTGTCTCTATATTACGTTTTCCCTGTCCAGGATTTCATATGTATGTAATTATTTAACATGTACTCTCTCTTTGTGACTGGCTTCTTCCACTAAGCGTAATGCTTTTGAGACCAAGCCATGCTGTTGGTTCCTTTTGTTGCTGAGTAATATTGCACTGAGTGGACAATTTCTTTATCCAGCCCCCTGTGTATAGGCATTTGGGCCTTTTCCAGTTAGTAGCCATTAAGAATAAAGCGGTGACTATGAATATCCTCCAGCAAGTCTTTTGTAGACACAGATTTTCCTTTCTCTTGGGGAAATATGTATAAGGGGAATCATTAATTGTTGGATCATAGGGTAGATGTATGTTTATGCTGTTATTTCTAATGAAAAATTAGCCTCAAAGGCAGTGTGGGGGCTACAGATATTCAATTGACTATGCAGCATTTATATGCCAGCAACATGGAGCTGTTTCTGAGCTCCGTGCACAGTTCTGTCTGGAATCCCCTACCCTCTCGCTCCCAACTTTACTGTCCTATGCATTCGTTTATCAAACATATTGGGCACCAGGTAGACACGGGGCACTGTGCTAGAGGCTAGGGTTCAGAGGGGAGCATAGTGCAGAAGGGAAAAGGGATAGATACAGGCAGCACTGTGAGAGATGTAGGAGGTGGCCCCAGCTGGCAAGAAGGAAATGAGTCGTCCAGGCGCTGGGGAAAGCTTTATTCGAGGAGGTGAGGCTTGAATTGCATCTTTGAATTTAATTGAGATGAGTGGGCATTTGCTTGGCACACAAAAGGGTGAAGAGAATGCCTTGCCGTGATTGGGGGTGGGGTGGGAGTGAGGGCTGCCCTCTGCCCTGACCAAAAGAGTGTGAAAAAGAATGGGCCTTGTATAGAAAAGGAGGATGGTAGGTGGGTGGGGGACACAAAGGAATAAGGTAGGCATTTGCTGTATCTGGTCCCTAGACGGCAGGAGAACTCTGGTTTGAGGGCAGTGGGCAGCTTTACTCAACCCAGTTCTTTGAAGAAAGCCACATTCTTCAAGCATCGGGCCCTCTCTAGCCACCGTCTACACCACTGTTCAGGGTCCGCGACATACTTTCCACTTCAAACCATATTCGAGGCGGCTCCCAGCAGCAGCTGGAATCAGGGTGACGCCAGCTGATATACTTGTACAATTGCCAGGCACTGTTTGAAGTGCTTTACATGGATTATCTCATTTAATTCCTTATCTCATTTCATTCCCACAATAATCCTATAAGGTGAGTACTTTGCTATCCACTTTTCTTCCACTCAGGACAGAAAACTGAGGCCTAGAAAGATGAAACCACTTGCCAAAGTTTGCACATGTAGAAACAGGTGGAGCTAGACTTCCAACCCAGATAGGCTGACTCCAGGCTGTAGAAGTAGGAAATCCCTATTGTGACTGACAATGTTCCCCACATTTCACAGGAAATTCTTCCTTTCTTTATAGCACAACCTGAAAGTCCTTACTGTTTTTCCCTTAGTCCTAAAATGTCAGACTGAAGTTCTCCAACAACTCCTACGTGTAGGAGCCCAGCTAATCATGCTGAAATGAGTTTAAAAGTCCTTGAGTCACACAGCCTTGTTAGTTAGTGCATACAAAATGAATGGCTCTTTAGTATTTCTTAGAAGTGATTCCTGACTTCCAGTTGGCTTTGGAAACTAAATGGGAGTCATGGTGGAAACAGAGTTTAATCTCATGTTGGGAATCTCAGATATGCGACTGTGTTACTATCCTGGTGTTTTGAGAGTAGACGATGAGGTTTCAGGGTTATCTGGCTCCAGCTCTGGATGATGCACAGAAGCAAGTCTGAAGCCTTTCAGGATCCTGGGTGGTCAGTTATGTAGTGTCTACTCCTTTCCCATCTTTCCTGCATGCCATTCTCTGAACCCAGCCTTCTGGTGGTGGCTCAACAGCGGCAGAAATACTCTCAGCCATCCTGCCAGACACAAATGATGGCACTGGATAGGACAGGGCTTTTTCCTACTTACCCATATTCCAGCTGTGGGTAGGATCAATGGAGGCCTGGAATGAGGGGAGGAAGTGAATTTTGTTTATTGCTGCTACTTTTTCTAACCCTCAGATTAGCAAAGGGTGACAGCCAGAAATCCAGCAATGGACAACCTTGGTTGAAGAGTTCCAGATGAAACTTTATGGATCAAACTGATCATTTAAAAAGCAATTCTTAGGTTAACACTTCTGGACATGATACTCTTTGGTAGATTAGGAATCCTTGATGGGGAAAAGAAAACTCCCAGGCAAAGAACACTATCTTCTGCAGAATGAGGAATTCAACTTTTGGAAGCCACAAGTATTTTATTAAAATACATTTGAAACTTAGGTTGAATGGTTATTTCATGTGTATATAGTAAGCATAAAAATAAATTAAATTAGTAAGTATAAAGTAAATGTTTTATGATCATAAATATCCTACCATGTAAATATCTTTTGAATCTATTCACATCTC